TTATTATTGAAGATAGTGGATATTGATAATTAATTGGAGTAGTTGTAATTAATAATAATTAACATTGAGGATTTATTTATACTGTTCGTAAATATTGATCCATTGAGTGGAGCCTTATGACTAATACATGTGAATATTGATCCATTGAGTGGAACCTTATGATTGTTGACAGTGTTCAAAATATTGAGCCTTAAGGAGAGCCTTATGATATATGATTGTGAATAATGATAGAATTAGTGAAGCCTTAACTGTATTGATGTGAATATTGATCCATTCAGTGGAGCCTTATAAATAATACTTGTGAATATTGATCTCATTAGTGGAGCCTTAACTGTAATGATGTGAATATTGATCCATTCAGTGGAGCCTTAACTGTAATGATGTGAATATTGATCCATTCAGTGGAGCCTTATGAATAATACTTGTGAATACTGATCACATTAGTGGAGCCTTATCTGTATTTATGTGAATATTGATCCATTCAGTGGAGCCTTATGACTAATACATGTGAATATTGATCACATTAGTAGAGCCTTATCTGAATTTATGTGAATATTGATCCATTCAGTGGAGCCTTATGAATAATACTTGTGAATGTTGATCACATTAGTGGAGCCTTAAATGAATGATTTTGAATTATGATCCATTTTTTTTTGCCTTATGATTGCTGATAAAGAATATTGATCTAGTGAGCTTTAAGATTATTGATAGTGAATTTTGATCTATATAGAGCCTTATGCTCAATTGCAGTGAATATTTATCGATTTAGTGGAGCAATATTATTAATGATAATAAATATTGATAATTGATTATAACCTTTGTGATTAATAATAAAGAATACTGATACATATAGTGGAGCTTTCTGATTAATGATAGCGAATATTGATCCATATATTTGAGCGATAAGTTTAGAGAGAGTGAATATAGATCTATTTATTGTAATCTTAATAATTATAGCGAATAATAATAAATTTATTGAGCTTTTTTATGAATAAATGTGAAAATTAGTATTTTACTAATTCACATGAAAATTGATAATGAGTATTGATCTATTTACTGGAGCCATGTGATTAGTGATAGGATATATTGATAAATTTAGTTTAGCCTTGTTATTATTGATAGGCATTCTAGATCCACTAATGTAGCCTAATGATAAATGATAGTGAATGTTGATCCATTTAAAAGAGCCTTATGATAATGATAGTGAATATTAATATATAATTAGCCTTTTGATAAATGATTGTGAATATTGATCTATTTGCTGAGTCATATGATTATTGACAGTGAATATTAATGTTTAGTGGAGCAGGGTTATTAGAGATATTGAATATTGATCCATTTGATAAATGACAGTAAATGTTGATCCATTTTGTAGAGCCTTGTGATTAATGGCAATGAATATTAATCTACTGAGCGGACCTTTTGATGAATGATATTCATTATTGACCTGTTTGTTGATCCATATGATTATTGATAGCGAATATTGATCAATTTACTTGAACAAATTGATTAGTGAAGATTAATATTGATGTTATTGATATTAATATTAATATCCCTAAGTGGTGCCTTATGATATATATATAATAGTCAATATTGTTGACATTAGTTGAGCCTTATGATATATAGTTGTGAATATTGATACAGAGATAGACTTAGGAATATTGATAATGAATATCAATTTATTTAGAGGAGCCATGTGATTAATGATAATGAATATTGATCCATATTGTGGAGCCTTATGATTGGTGAAAGTGATTTTTAATCAATTAGTGGAGCCTTATGATTGTTGGTAGTGAATTCTAATCCATTGATGGAGCCTAATAATAAATGACAGTAAATATTGATCCATAGAGCACAGCCTAATGATTAATGACTGTGAATATTAATCTATTAATAGGCCTTTTAATGAATGATTATGAATATTGATAAATTTGTGTTCTAATATGAGTATTGATAATCAATATTAATCAATTTAGTGGAGTAATGTGATTAGTGACAATTATTATTTATGAATTTAGAGGATCTTTATGACTGTTGACAGTGAATAGTGATCCATTAGTGGAGCCTTATGATGAATGGTAATGAACATTGATCACATAGTGGAGCCTTAAATGAATGATTGTGAATATTAATCCATTTTGTTAAGCCAAAGGATTAATGGAAGTGAATATTGATAAACTTAGTGAGCCTTTAAAATGATTAATTATGAACATTGATCTATGTATTCTGGCGTAATGCTCAATGGCATTGAACACTAATAAATTTTGTGGAGCCATATTAGTCATGATAGTGAGTAGTTATATTTTATATGAGCCATGTGATTAATAATAATGAATATTGATCCATTTAGTGGAGCCTTATGAGAATGATTGTGAATATTGATCCATTTAGTGGAACCTAATGAGAATGATTGTGAATATTGATCCATTTTGTTGAGCCTTATTATTAATGGGAGTGATTAATGAAAAACTTTGTGAGCCTTATGATTATTGATAACTAATATTGATTTATGTATATGAGCTCAATGCTCATTGTCAGTGAACATTATAAATTTAGTGGAGCATTATTATTCGTGACAGTGAATAGGTATAGTTTACTTTAGCCATGTGATAAATAATAATGAATATTGATCCATTTAGAGGAGCCTTTTGAATAGTGGTAGTTAATATTGATTAATGCCAATGATTAATGGTAGTGAATATTGATCTATTTCGTGAAGACTTATCAATAAAGATTACGAATAATTATCTATTTAAGGCGCATTTTTTTATGAATTGTTGTGAATATTGATCGATTTACGTATTCATCTATATATAAATAATGAAATTTGATCAATTTAGTAAAGTCATGTAATTACTAATAATGAATATTTATTCATTTAGTTGAACCTAATGATTAATAATAACGAAATATTAATCTATTAGTGGAGCCTTATGATAAAAGTTAGTGAATATTAATCACATTAGTGGAGCTTTATCTGTATTGATAGTGAATGTTGATCCATTCATCAGAGTCTTATGAATAACGTTTGTGAATATTGATTCAGCAATTGAGCCTAATGATTAATTACAGTGAAAGTTGCTTCATTTAGTGGACCTTATTAAAATAGATCCATTGGTGGAGCCTTATGATTGCTGATAGTGAATTTTAATCCATTGGAGGAGCCTTATCATTGTTAATAGTGAACTTTTATACATTGGTGGAGCCTTATAATAAATGATAGTAAATATTGATCCATATAGTAGAGCTAATGATTAATGATTGTGAATATTTTCTATTTATTAGATCTTTAATGAATGATTGGGAATATTGATCAATTTGCTGATTCATATGAGTATTGATAGTGAATATTGATGAATTTTGTTGAGCAATATAATTAGTGAAAATTAATATTGATCAATTTAGAGGAGCCTTATGACCGTTGACAGTGAATATTGATGCATTAATAGAGCCTTATGATCACTGGAAATGACTATTGATCACATAATGGAGTTTTATTGGCAGTCATCTTGAGTTATTAATAATGATCATTGATCTATTTAGTGGAGTCATATGATTACTGATAATGAATATTGATCCATTTAGTGGAGCCTTATGATTGAGGATAATGAATATTGATCCATTTAGTGGAGCCTTATGATTGTGGTTAATGAGAATTGATCCATTTAAGGGAGCCTTATGATTGTGGTTAATGAAAATTGACCCATTTAGTGGAGCCTTATGATTGTGGCTAATGAATATTGATCCATTTAGTGGAGCCTTATGGTTGTGATTAATGAAAATTGATCCATTTAGTGGAGCCTTATGATTGTGGTTAATGAGAATTGATCCATTTAGTGGAGCCTTATGATTGTGGTTAATGAAAATTGATCCATTTAAGGGAGCCTTATGATTGTGGTTAATGAGAATTGATCCATTTAGTGGAGCCTTATGATTGTGGTTAATGAGAATTGATCCATTTAGTGGAGCCTTATGATTGTGGCTAATGAATATTGATCCATTTAGTGGAGCCTTATGGTTGTGATTAATGAAAATTGATCCATTTAAAGGAGCCTTATGATTGTGGTTAATGAGAATTGATCCATTTAGTGGAGCCTTATGATTGTGGTTAATGAGAATTGATCCATTTAGTGGAGCCTTATGATTGTGGTTAATGAGAATTGATCCATTTAAGGGAGCCTTATGATTGTGGTTAATGAGAATTGATCCATTTAGTGGAGCCTTATGATTGTGGCTAATGAGAATTGATCCATTTAGTGGAGCCTTATGATTGTGGTTAATGAGAATTGATCCATTTAAGGGAGCCTTATGATTGTGGTTAATGAGAATTGATCCATTTAGTGGAGCCTTATGATTGTGGTTAATGAGAATTGATCCATTTAGTGGAGCCTTATGATTGTGGTTAATGAGAATTGATCCATTTAGTGGAGCCTTATGATTGTGGTTAATGAGAATTGATCCATTTAGTGGAGCCTTATGATTGTGGATAATGAATGTTAATTCGTTACCACAAGCACAACTAGGTAAGTTCAACTAGGTGAGTAGACACACACACACACACACACACACACACACACACACACACACACACACACACACACACACATATGACAAAGAGTGCTGGGAAGACGGGACACCACGAGCGTAGCTCTCATCCTGTAACTACACTTAGGTAATTACACTTAGGTAATTACACACACAGTGGTGCAGCCAGTACTCTTTACCTCACAATTTATCCATAATACCATACAACCCGTTCTCGCAAATTCGTAAAGTCAATATTGACTTATTAACTACGTGCATAGGTGATATACTAAACATAATAGATACCCTTAAAAAGATTCATAGAAAACACCGACCTTACCTAACCTTGTTAGTATCTTAAGATAAGCATCTTATTGCTTCGTAATTACAATTATTACTTAACCTATACCTATTATAGGTTAGGTAATAATTGTAATTACGAAGCAATAAGATGCTTATCTAAACATACTAAGTAGGTTAGGTAAGGTCGGTGTTTTCTATGAAGCTTTTCAAGGGAAACTATTATGTTAAGTATGTCACCTATGCACATATTTAATAAGTCAATATTGACTTATTAAATTTGCGAGAACGGGTTGTACCATACAAAAACAACCCCAAAATATGCATTTTGAGTTTCATTCGCGAAACTCAAGAGATATAATAATGAAGGGTTGAAAGGAACATAACCAATCACGGTACCTATAGGGTTCTTCCCCGGTGGAATATTGGCGCTCTTGGCATCCAGGTTACAATCCCGCCGGGCTGATGCTTGGGTTCTCGTTCGAGTACTACTCGTTCGAGTAGTGCCAAGTACCACAGGTGGTACTTGGCACTACCTGCACAAGTAGGACTGGTCGTCAGTGGAGTGGCAAGTGTGCTTGACCCCAGCTGAAGGAGCAGGTGTGGATGACTCCAGTTGCAGGAGCAGGTGTGGATGACTCTCCAGCTGTAGGAGCAGGTGTGGATGACTCCAGCTGCAGGAGCAGGTGTGGATGACCCCAGTTGCAGGAGCAGGTGTGGATGACCCCAGCTGCAGGAGCAGGTGTGGATGTCTCCAGCTGCAGGAGCAGGTGTGAATGACTCCAGCTGTAGGAGCAAGTGTGGATGACTCCAGTTGCAGGAGCAGGTGTGGATGACTCTCCAGCTGTAGGAGCAGGTGTGGATGTCTCCAGCTGCAGGAGCAGGTGTGAATGACTCCAGCTGTAGGAGCAGGTGTGGATGACTCCAGCTGCAGGAGCAGGTGTGGATGTCTCCGGCTGCAGGAGCAGGTGTGGATGTCTCCGGCTGCAGGAGCAGGTGTGGATGTCTCCGGCTGCAGGAGCAGGTGTGGATGACCCCAGCTGCAGGAGCAGGTGTGGATGACTCCAGCTGTAGGGAGCAGGTGTGGATGACTCCAGCTGTAGGAGCAGGTGTGGATGACCCCAGCTGCAGGAGCAGGTGTGGATGACCCCAGCTGCAGGAGCAGGTGTGGATGACCCCAGCTGCAGGAGCAGGTGTGGATGACCCCAGCTGCAGGAGCAGGTGTGGATGACCCCAGCTGCAGGAGCAGGTGTGGATGACACCAGCTGCAGGAGCAGGTGTGGATGACCCCAGCTGCAGGAGCAGGTGTGGATGACCCCAGCTGCAGGAGCAGGTGTGGATGACCCCAGCTGCAGGAGCAGGTGTGGATGACCCCAGCTGCAGGAGCAGGTGTGGATGACCCCAGCTGCAGGAGCATTAGCGGCAAGGTCGCAGGTTCTCAATGTCATCTGACTCTGGCCTCATCGAGGCGGCAAGGCCAGAGGTTAGGGCGGTTTCAGACCCCAGTAACTACCGGACCAGACGAACCACACTACAGTGGCTGTAGTGCTTGGCAGTGCACCGCTACAGTAGCTGCAGTGGCTGTAGTGCTTGGCAGGGCACTGCTTCAGTAGCTGCAGTGGCTGTAGTGCTTGGCAGGGCACCGCTACAGTAGCTGCAGTGATGGATGATGGACCTTATCACGCCCGTGTGGACATGGACCCCACAGACCTCACGCACTGTGTCTCAGGTACTCTGCTGTTGAAGTTGCTTGTGTTGTAAGTTGGCTTCGGCATCCGTAAGGGTACGGAAAAATAGTGTCAGCCGTGTCGATTTAATGGGCGGCGTAAGCTGTGTCGGGTGGCCGGCTGTGACATCTGTGTCGATGGTCAGGCCGTGTCATCTGCGTCGACGGTCCGGCCGTGTCATCTGCGTCGACGGTCCGGCCGTGTCATCTGCGTCGACGGTCCGGCCGTGTCATCTGCGTCGACGGTCAGGCCGTGTCATCTGCGTCGACGGTCCGGCCGTGTCATCTGCGTCGACGGTCCGGCCGTGTCATCTGCGTCGACGGTCCGGCCGTGTCATCTGCGTCGACGGTCCGGCCGTGTCATCTGCGTCGACGGTCCGGCCGTGTCATCTGCGTCGACGGTCCGGCCGTGTCATCTGCGTCGACGGTCCGGCCGTGTCATCTGCGTCGACGGTCCGGCCGTGTCATCTGCGTCGACGGTCCGGCCGTGTCATCTGCGTCGACGGTCCGGCCGTGTCATCTGCGTCGACTGTCTGGCCATGACATCCGCGTCGATTGTCTGTTCGTGTCATCTATGTCGACTGACGGATGAGATGCCTGCCGCCATCACTGTTAAACGAGAGAAATTATCATGTGTTAGTTAGCCAGGTGTGAAGGGGGTCAGGTCTGGAGCGTGTCTCAAGCCGGGGCCAGGCGCAGGGACACAGCTGACACCTGCGCGTCTTAACAAGAAAAGAAGGGTGCAGGTGACAGACTGAAAAACAGGGACATAGATAATGGCAGAAAAAATAGATACTGAGACGAAGATAAAGGCAGAGATAGGTATTGAGACATGTTTCTAATCCAAAAATTTTGAACAATGTGAAACTGGGACTTAGTTTATCAGATTTGTTTATGCTTTATTACCCCTTTGGTCTGACCCCTCTAGTCTGACCCCTCTGATATGACCCCTCTGGTCTGACCCCTCTGGTCTGACCCCTCTGGTCTGACCCCTCTGGTCTGACCCCTCTGGTCTGACCCCCTCTGGTCTGACCCCTCTGACATGACCCCTCTGGTCTGACCCTCTGGTCTGACCCCTCTGATCTGAAAGCTTATTTAGGATCCTTCAACAACATTTGAAGAGCCATCAATATTGCAGCCAATTTTGCTCAAGCACGAACCTACTGGCCCACAGACGTACTGGCCCACGGACGTACTGGCCCACGACGTACTGGCCCACGGACGTACTGACCCACGCATGTACTGACCCACGCACGTACTGGCCAACGGACGTACTGACCCACGGATGTATTGACCCACGCACGTACCGACCCACGCACGTACTGACCCACAGACGTACTGACCCACACACGGACTGGCCCACGGACGTACTGACCCACGGACGTACTGGCCCACGCATGTACTGGCCCACGGACTAAACAGCCCCATAAAACACCAAAAAAAAAGTTATTAAAATTGTTCTAGATTTATTCCTCAATAACATTTATTCCTATTTTTACGGCTTCACAATATTTCTTGACATTAAATTTGCCAAGGAAACTGTGGGACGATAATAATGTTTTTTCCTTCTGTGCGTCAGGAAGTAAACAAAGGAAATAGTCTTGAATTGTCGTGTCATTTTAGAAGGGGGGAAACTTGAATGTCGCAATGATGCCTATTTTATTGGTAGTTTTTGTGTTTTTTAAGGGGGATATTTTAGAAAGGGTGCTGGCAATAGGTATTGGAAGAGGAGGCTGGAAAAGGGAATTGGGAGAAGGGGACGGGGTGGTTGGCTGTTAGATGGTGTGTGTTTATATGGGAGGACTGATAACGGAGTGGTGTCAATCTTATCTTGAGGTTATCTTGAGTTGATTTCGGGGCTTTAGTGTCCCCGTGGCCCGGTCCTCGACCAGGCCTCCACCCCCAGGAAGCAGCCCGTACCAGCTGACAAACTCCCAGGTACCTATTTACTGCTAGGTAACAGGGGCATTCAGGGTGAAAGAAACTTTGCCCATTTGTTTCTGCCTGGTGCGGGAATCGAACCAGCGCCACAGAATTACGAGTCCTGCGCGCTATCCACGAGGCTAGCAGGCCTCTAAAGAGAGATCTGGGAGACGGAGACAGTGTAAACTCACTCTCAAATAACTCCCAGGTAACCTATTTACTGCTAGGTAACAGGGCATAGGATGAAAGAAACTCTGCCCATCGTTTCTCGCCGGCGTCCGGGATTGAACCCGGGACCACAGGATCACGTATCCAGCGTGCTGTCCGCTCGGCCACCGGCTCCCTATAAGAGTTGTATCGTGTACTCACCTAGTTGTACTCGCCTAGTTGTGTTTGCGGGGGTTGAGCTCTGGCTCTTTGGTCCCGCCTCTCAACCGTCAATCAACAGGTGAACAGATTCCTGAGCCTATTGGGCTCTATCATATCTACACTTGAAACTGTGTATGGAGTCAGCCTCCACCACATCACTCCCTAATGCATTCCATCCGTCAACAACTCTGACACTAAAAAAGTTCTTTCTAATATCTCTGTGGCTCATTTGGGCACTCAGTTTCCACCTTTGTCCCCTTGTGCGTGTGCCCCTTGTGTTAAATAGGCTGTCTTTATCTACCCTATCAATTCCCTTGAGAATCTTGAATGTGGTGATCATTTCCCCTCTAACTCTTCTGTCGTGTGTGTGTATGTGGGTGTGTGTGTGTGTGTGTGGGTGGGTGTGTGTGTGTGTGTGTGTGTGTGTGTGTGTGTGTGTGTGTGTGTGTGTGTGTGTGTGTGCGTGTGTGTGTTTACTAGTTGTGTTTTTACGGGGGTTGAGCTTTGCTCTTTCGGCCCGCCTCTCAACTGTCAATCAACTCTTAACTAACTACTTTTTTTTTCCCCACACCACACACACACACACACACACACACACACACACACACACACACACACACACACACACACACACACACACACACACACACCAGGAAGCAGCCCGTGACAGCTGACTAACTCCCAGGTACCTATTTACTGCTAGGTAACAGGGGCACTTAGGGTGAAAGAAACTTTGCCCATTTGTTTCTGCCTCGTGCGGGAATCGAACCCGCGCCACAGAATTACGAGTCCTGCGCGCTATCCACCAGGCTACGAGGCCCCCATGTGTCGTGTGTGTGTGTGTGTGTGTGTGTGTGTGTGTGTGTGTGTGTGTTTATGTGTGTGAATTAGTGTATATGTATATTGTGTGAGTGCGTGTATTAGAAACTATATTTCTAACATACGCGAACGACATGTCTACAGGGGTCGAGTCCTATATGTCGATGTTCGAGGATGACGCGAAATTAATGAGACAAATTGTGACAGATGAAGATTCTTGGATCCTCCAATAGGAATTGAACAAGCTACAGACATAGTCAGAGAAATGGCTACCGGAGTTCAACACGATCAGGCGTAATGTTATGGAAATGGGACTAGGTTACAGGAGACCAATTGGTCAGTCCACAATGAACGGAAACTACCTTCCTTTGACGATTTGAGAAAAGGACTTGGGAGTGGACGTTACGCCAAATCAAACTCCTGAGGCACATATAGATCGGATAACGACCGCAGCGTACTCTACGCTAGCAAAAGTTAGAACGTCATTCAGAAGCCTATGTAAGGAGGCATTTAGAACGCTTTACACTGCCAACGTGAGGCCAGTCTTAGAGTATGCCGCCCCATCATGGAGCCCCCCATCTAAAGAAACACATAAGGAAACTGGAAAACGTTAACAAATTTGCGACGAGACTCGTCCCAGAGCTGCATGGGATGAAGTAAGAAGAGCGACTGAAGGAACTGAACCTGACGACGTTAGAATAAAGGGGGGGGGAGCGGGAAAATATGATAGCATCATTAAAAATACTTAGAATAATAGAAAAAGTGGAAATAGACGAAATGTTCACACGGAATACCAACTGAACAATGGGATGAAGCTGGAAACTCAGTTGAGTCATAGAGATGTTTGTAAGTTTTCTTTTAGCGTGAGAGTAGTGGGGAAATGGAATGAACTAAAGGAGCACCTTGTGGAAGCAAACACTATTCATAACTTTAAAACTAGGTATGTGTACTACACATACACACACAAACACACACACACACACATACATTAGAGTGCTTAAACACCCATAAGCCTCTCCTCAATATCACTCGACCAATCAGAAAAACGCGATAAGATAACTTCGCCAGGATTGGCTGCCGGGTCGCCGCTACTAAGAGCGATCTTGCGGTCCAGCTCCTCCCCCCTTGCACCTCACACACACACACACACACACACTCTCACACACACACATATATAAAGAGCAGCAGTGAGAGTTGCCTCAGAAAGCAGTTGAACTGTAACCCATCAAGCGAAGCTAAGATAACAGCTCTACTATGGACCCATCAGCACCGTGGCCCTGGGTGACTATTTCGTTCCCTGAGGAGGCGACCGAGACGTGAAGACCTTGCAGGGTAAGTTTTGGGTCACGTCTGGCTTTGTGTACCTCATTCATAACACATGTGGAATAAACTCAATGGACATTACGTCAGTTGGTGTGACCGAAGCCTTCACTTCAGTGAAGTGTTAGTGGGATTTGGTTTAATATGTGTACACGGTGTGGTATTAATTTTTGTTATTTTGTTTTTTGAAGGATATTACCTAATCCCTAGTTTTGATATGGCAGGTGTTGCGGTCGGTGATGCCTCCATTCACCACCAGGCTGCCTCTATATCAGCAGGCTGCCTCTATATCAGCAGGCTGCCTCTACACCACCAGGCTGCCTCTACATCAGCAGGCTGCCTCTACACCACCAGGCTGCCTCTACACCAGCAGGCTGCCTCTACACCAGCAGGCTGCCTCTACACCAGCAGGCTGCCTCTACACCACCAGGCTGCTTCTACACCAGCATCACTAAGTGTGACACATTATATCTTGGAACATCGCAAGATCTCCTGGAATGATCTAGCATATTTAGGCATGCCTCAGCATCACCAAGGGTGACATAATATCTCATGGAATACCACAGCATCTCAAGGGATGCCCCCGCATTTCAAGGGATGCCCCACCATCTCTTGACAAGCCGCAGCATCACTGTGGATGGCCCAACATCTCGTGGCTTGACATAGCATCCCTCTCCGCGAGTCAGCTGACTTGTTCAAACACAAGATTCAGCGAAAACCTTTAAAGTTCCATCACTCAATTCTTTTATTCGAATATATTATTTTTTTAAACAAAATTGACATAAATTTATGTAGCATTTCGCTACAATATATCCTCCAAAACACGGCCATATTTTGATGCTATTAATTTCATGTTGCTATTAATTTCAATTGATGACCCTCAATTGATGACCATCAATGGATGACCATCGATTGATGACCCTCAAAATGTACTGTTTTGCAGTAATAGTCCATTCTTTCGAATTTCGATGAAGAGCTTATGTTTCAAAATCATTAGATTCATCAACAAACTCGGATAACTTTTTTGTTTTGCTATTGTGAATATATCATGTTACGGGTATATCGTTATACCATTGCGTGAGGTGCGATAGACACTTCATGCAGACATACTTTGATCCATTTATTTGTGGAGCCTGAAGATATAATCGAATAATATTTTTAATTTATCGCAAAATATGCTTCTTTTTTAGCGTAGAACAATGCCTTTATTGTATTATTTGTATTTGTTAACTTTTTCTCATATATATACAATTATTATGGTGTATCTTTCAAGGGTACACCTTGGGTATATCTCTTAGAGGTATACTTTGGGTTTATCTCTCAGGGATACACCTTGGGTGTTACTCTGAGTGGTACCTCTACTACACACTACACTGACACACACCTACACTATCGTTCCCAAAAGTTCTCACTTGGGATACATAAAATGTCACTAATTTACCGCAGTAATTCAGACTGTGATCGGCAAGTAGCTGAAGCCTTCGATATATTTTTAATTATTCCTTTAAATAATTTTTCAACCTTAGCTGCTCATAAAATTTCGAAACAATTTCCAGGAAACTGACATAAACAATCAATTTTCAAAGTATATATTGACGAGTTTGTCAGTTTAAACATATTTTTTTTTCTATTGTTGTCATTTTTAAATAATAGAACAAACTTCAATTCATAGATTTGCTCTAGAGTTTTTGAGAGCACTGATGAGTAACTTTAATATGAAAGTTGCTAGTGTTAGTTAACATAATTGAACAATTTACTGATCCTATGTTGAACATGAAAATGTGTATAATTTCTAGCGATGAGCTTTAATTTGCTAACTAATTAGATTGCTCTATTAAGCAATATCTTCAATTGTGTATCATTAATTTCATGACGAGAAATTAATACCAGAAATTGTGTATCAATTTCTCATCAAACTCTATTTCAGTTTACGAAATGTTTAGCAGCCAATTCAATATGTATGTTATTAATATGTATAAATATGTTTAGAATGTTGTAAACCATGTATTACACTTGCAGCTCGTTCTTTGCTGCGGTGTATTAATAATTTGATCCATGTATTTATGGAGCCTGAAGAGGAATTCGAATATATCTTTTTTACTTTCGATTATTCAATAATTTTTGTTGTATACACACACTTTATAGTGTGTCATCAGTACAATATTATATATATATATATATATATATATATATATATATATATATATATATATATATATATATATATATATATATATAATGAATCATGTTTATCATAGATTGAACTTTATTTTTGTATTATGGAGTTAAAATAATAAAAAATCCAAAAATATGAAATTTTTACCTGCATTTTTGACAAAGATCCTTGTGTTGATAACATTGAAATGATTCAATTAAATTTTCAATTACAACAATAACTAAACTAAATAATATATCCAACGCATCTGGCTATTTTACACTCCATTAGCAACCTGTACAAGGTCGTTTTTGGATACATTTAGGTACATATAAAATAAATATGTTGCTGCTTCATTAACATTGTCAATGACAGTGACATTGAGGCTTCAGAACACGTGGATAAAGGAAACTTCAGGAGGTTTTCTGGCCAATTCGAGGCAGCAGCAGAACAATTGGGAAAAAAACAATGCATCTCCTACTTATATCCACTCAAACTCAATCATATATATGTCTATTTATGTCTTGAAACAATCCAACAATCCCACGTTTACAGTGTTGTCCGGTTAATTGTTTCATAAATCAACAACTTTCTTTTCAATCAATTGTTTATCCAGGTCTTTACTGATTCTTAAGCTCCTCAATTTGTACCCATTGTTTTGTGTTTTAAACTCATTTGCTTGTACAGTGAATCAAACCATCAATACATAAATTCTAAAGGAAGTCAAGCAGGGGCATGACAAAGGAAAGAATAAACATTTCATTAAGGGAGTTTAAAGTTCACTGTAATACATTTACGAGATTGTCTTCTTCTTTTAAAGTTAACATTACTTTTGTTAACCTCATTCGCTTGTTTCTAAGTACGTTGTTCGAGACGATTATTTTGACCACTTCCAAATTACTGAAATTTCATGAGGTATATTTCAGTCACACGTTTGAGTACTTTGTGTATGATTAGGTGTTGATCTTGCAACATACAAATGTTTATCTTACAACTTACAAATGTTTATCTTACAACTTACAAATGTTTATCTTACAACTTACAAATGTTTATCTTACAACTTACAAATGTTTATCTTACAACTTACAAATGTTTATCTTACAACTTACAAATGTTTATCTTACAACTTACAAATGTTTATCTTACAACTTACAAATCACCACAACGTCTGAGTGTGTTCCTCTCCCACTATGTGATCCTCAACACCAGTCTGAGACTCTGTGTCTGTTGGTGTCTTTGCCAAAAAAGTTTATATTTACACATTAATTATATTTGTTATATATATATATATATATATATATATATATATATATATATATATATATATATATATAAATATATAAATGTTGTACCTAGTAGCCAGAACGTCGTACTCGGCCTGCTATGCAAGGCCCGATTTGCCAAATAAGCCAAGTTTTCCTGAATTAGTATATTTTCTCTAATTTTTTTCTTATGAAATGATAAAGCTACCCATTTCATTATGTATGAGGTCAATTTTTTTTATTGGAGTTAAAATTAACGTAGATATATGACCGAACCTAACCAACCCTACCTAACCTAACCTAACCTATCTTTATAGGTTAGGTTCGGTTAGGTAGCCGAAAAAGTTAGGTTAGGTTAGGTTAGGTAGGTTAGGTAGTCGAAAAACAATTAGTTCATGAAAACTTGGCTTATTAGGCAAATACGGCCTTGCATATTAGGCTGACAAGTGCGTTCTGGCTACTAGGTAAGCACTTGTCAATGGCTACCGTCCTTATTTCGAATGGCTAAATGGAAAAAAAAATTTACCTTAGCGTGAGAGAAACTTTAGCTAAACATAAATTAACTCAAACTCAGCTTGAATAACGGAAACTCTTCTTGAATAACGGAAACTCTTCTTGAATAACTGAAACTCTTCTTGAATAACGGAAACTCTTCTTGAATAACTGAAACTCTTCTTGAATAACTGAAACTCTTCTTGAATAACTGAAACTCTTCTTGAATAACTGAAACTCTTCTTGAATAACTGAAACTTCTTGAATAACTGAAACTCTTCTTGAATAACGGAAACTCTTCTTGAATAACTGAAACTCTTCTTGAATAACGGAAACTCTTCTTGAATAACTGAAACTCTTCTTGAATTTAGCTGAGGTCCACTATCTATCTAGTTGCTTCCACTGGGACAAGAAGCCGGAGGCTTGTTAAAGGTCCCCCACTATTCCTGAGAATGTTTCCTTCAGGAGTTTGAACTGCAGGAATGCCTTGGTATTTCCGGTTTCGGAAATAATATATGCAGTGAGAAAATTTGAAGAGAGAATGTGTTTTGTTTACCCTATTTATCTGGGTTTAAATATATTGTCAAGAACTTGAAACTTTTTGATATACATGTATTGTTTAATTACGAAAATACTGTTGGAAAACTATTAGTTCGAAACTAAATTGATTGAGAGATGGCTTCTTCAATAACATATTGTAAAAGCACTTTCAATAGGAAAATAATTCAATTAGCTTTAATATAGATTACAAAATAATGTAATCTCAACATAAGCAGTGATTTGTATATTTTAGATCCTTTTTTGATTTATCAGTTTAAGGGCGATTTGAGTAGGATCACTGATACACATTTGTCTCACTAATACGTTATAATACACTAATACTACTAACTACTAATACACTAACACTAATACTAATAATATCCAAAATCTTGTGATATTAATATCCACGATGTAGCTCCTATTTATATCCACCTAATCCCGTTCATATATATGTCATTGTATCTCACCTCTCTTCTATCTATATATCCAATCTACTGACTTGTAAATCCATCCTTTTAACGATGTATTATTAAATATGAAAGTACTTAAGATAATTCCTCTTTCAATCCATCCTTCGTGGTCTAACAGTCATATATATATATATATATATATATATATATATATATATATATAGGTGTATACTGGCAGCAGGTTTTCTTTTAAACATGTCTCATTGAATATGACCGCATATTCTGTATTTACTATCTTCTGATTTAGGGCTGCTATCCCTCTAACTATTTTCTTAGCATCAGGGCTTAGCTGAAATAGAAGTTCTCCAAAACTCATTTTCGTAATTTCAAGGTGAAGAAAAGAAGTGAATTACTATAGAATGTATTACACTTATTTATACAATTTGCACAACGTTTCGAACCTCCATGGTTCATTCTCAAGTGAAAAGAATTTTCAGGACTGGTTGATTTTATACGCGCACTGGGTCAGGTGATAAGACAATATAGGTGAAAACATGGGGGGGATACATAAGGGATATATGGGGGGTGAAACATAAGAACATAAGAATAGAGGTAACTGCGAAAGGCCTATTGGCCCATACGAGGCAGCTCCTATTTACATACAAAGATTAATCAAGTGTAATTGACCTGTTATGTTGAACAGTGTCTTCTGTGTTGACATCGTTATGTTCTGGTCTTGTCCTTACTCTCATGGTGGGTAGAGTAAATAGTTCCGTGATTTGGGTGTTCATGGTAGGTTGTTCTATTCTTATGTGAATTGCTTCAAGAATTTGTAATCATCTTGCATCTTGGGTTTTGTCTATTATACAGGTATTTTTGTTCAACATTTCTCTTGTTAGGGTGATGTCATGGGCTTGTCTCATGTGATTCCTGGGTGCACCAGATTGAAGATGGCATGTCAAACGCCTCGTCAGCTTGGTCGACGTCATACCTATGTACTTAGATTGAAGGTTACATCCTTCGTGGGGGCAAGTGTACATGTATACAACGCTTGACTGCTGTAGAGGGTTCTCCGTCGGCTTCGGGCTGTTTTTGATAAGGAGTTCGGAAGTCTTCTTGGTTTTGTAGAATATTATCAGGTTTATGTTTTGGTTAGGAGTAATGCTTTTTACTCCTTTACGGATTATTTCTTTCATTATTCTTTCCTCTTTTATATGTTCACTGTACATGGTTGATTTGTAATATAATTTTATTGGAGGTATTGTGGTTTCTGTTCTAGGTTCTGGATTATACCAACGGTCCAAGTGTCTTCTTATAGCACGTTTATTTCCGCGTTGCTATATCCATTGTTCACCAATAATTGAGTTACTCTTTCAAACTCTCTACTCACGTTGCTCCATTCAGAGCAGTGGGTCAGCGCTCGAAGAAAATAAGCATTGAGAACACTGGCTGGGCTTAGTATATACGATGGTGCTTAAAGAGGTTCCTGTTTTTGTTATTAGTACATCCAAGAATGGCAGACTGTTATTTTCACTAATTTCATGTGTAAATCGGAGTACTGACTCTCTCTCTAGATGGCTTCTTAGATCAAATAGTTCATCTGAGTCTTTTACTATTACGAATATGTCATCTACATAACGGCAATATACAGTTGGTTTTTGTCTGCTACTGAAGACTCTGTCTTCGATGGTTCCCATATAAAAATTTGCAAATAAGACTCCTAACGGGGAGCCCATTGCTACTCCGTCTATTTGTAAATACATGTCTGCTTGTGGACTGATGAAAGGGGCTTCCTTTGTACATGCCTCGAGAAGACTCTTCAAATATATATATATATATATATATATATATATATATATATATATATATATATATATATATATATATATATATATATATAATATACAATTAGTATT